TCTCCAGCTCGTGCTTAGTGATGGGAGATTTGCATTCGCTAGTGTATTTCTGGGCAGGGTGTCCAAAGAAGAGGAAGTGTGCAGCGAAGAGGGGGTGTCTCAGCCTCAGCTTTCTCTCATGTGCTGTATAGCGGTCAGACGTCACATGGTGAGGCTCCCTCCGTCACTCTACATGCTTTTCTGTCCTTTAGACAGGGTCTCACTATGTAGCCCTGGCCAGTCTGGAACTCACAGAGATTCCCCTGCCTCTGCCTCCCAAGTGATAAAGATCCGGCTCTGATGAGCATTCACACTGGCTGGCTGGCCAGTAAGCCCCACCGCCATCTCCCCAGGGAAGATGGGTGCAGGCTTGGCTCTTTATGTGTGTGCTGGGATTTCAACTCAGGCCCTCATGCTCAGTCAGCCACTCAGAGGGACGGAGCCCTGGCCTCTTGCCCATCCCCCAGCCACTTACACCCTGACCCCAACCTTCTGCTCCTGAGAGTTTGAGTGTCATCCCAGCACTCAGGAGCCTGAGGCAGGAGGATCAGGAGTTCAAGCCAACCTAGACAATATTAAACCGTGTATAATAGCCAGGAGTGGTGGTCCCAGCACTGGGAGACAGAAGTAGGCAGATGGCTGTGAGTTCAAGGTGAGCCTCGTCTACACAGTGATATCCTGTCTCCAAAAACCAAAACAAGCCCCCAAATCGCTCATACACATAACAAAGTTTAAATACAGAGTTGAAGAGATTTCTCATGGTGAAGCGCCCTGGCTGCTCTTCCAGAGGACTTGGGTTGGATTCCCAGCACCCACGAGGCAGTAGCTGTGTGTAACATCTGGCCACCTTGGACAACAGGCAGGCAGGCAGGCAGGCAGGCACGTGTTGCACAGACATACATGCAGACCACACACACACACGCACACACGCACACACACACACACACACGCACACACACACACACACACGAAATAAGTATTACAGAGAAAACAAGTGAGTAAATCCAGCCAGGTAGACTAGTGGCCCCACTGGAGCACCTGCTGGCATGCAGGTCTGGGCTCTGTGCTGGGCACCACGCAGAGCACTTAGGAAGTGGAGGCAGGAAGATGAGTTCAAGGGCGCTCTCAGCTAGGTAAGAGTGGGGGACCAGCTTGGGCCATATGAGACACTGTCTCAAACTAAAATAAGAAACAAAAATAATTTTTTAAAAAAGTCTATTTTGCCAGGTGTGGTGGTGCATGTCTTCAATCTCAGCGCTTGGGAGGCAGAGGCAGGAGCATCTCTGTGAGTTCGAGGCCAGCCTGCCTATATACTGAGTTCCAGGACAGCTAGGGCTATGAGAGCCCCTGTCTCAAGAAATAAAAGTTAAAAGCTAATCTCTCTCCACAACTTTCTCTCTGCCCTCAATGACAGAGTAAATCCACCTCTGCTCTTGAGGCAGCCCTGCGTCCAGCCCTGCTCCCATGTCAGGGCCCTTGCACCTGCTGTTCCTGCTGCTCAGAACTCACCTCTCTTGCCCTCAGGTCTGTGTTCAGAGAGAGCCCACCCCCCTTCTCTCTACATCCCACCCTTCAGCCCTCCCCTTCACTCTATCTCAGGGACAGAGGGAGGCTGCCCTCGGGTCTTCTAGGACCCAGTGACTCAGGTCCAAGCCTGGCTCTCACAGGACCCGGAGTGGGAGGCATTTCCATAGTTATCTTGGCTGGGGAACCTCCGGTCTAGTGCCCCTTTTCAGCCTCCAGGGACCTGCCTGGGTTTTGACAACACATCTCAGCCCTGGGAAAGGCCAGCGGTTAAAATTAGCAAGGAGGTTAAATTTGGTAAGAGAAGCTGGAGCTGGGGACCCTGATAGCTTCTTAGACTTTACTCAGAGAGGGTGGAGGCTAGCCCACAGCATCTCACCTATGCCAGCTGAAATGTCCCACACTGCTGGGTATGCAGGGTTCCTAGGTGCTGGGAGCCACAGCCAGGCCACTTGGGTGGGGACTAGGAAGCAATCATGGCTAACTCAGTGGATCTGGACTTCAGTTTCCTTTTTGTGGGGAGGGAAATGGGGACTCAAGCCCAAGCTTCCTTCATTATTTTGCTGAGGCTGGCCTTAAACTCCTGTTCCTCTACCTCTCCACCTCTTCAGTGCTGCCATGATATCTGACGGGTTTTTTTGTTTTTGTTTTTTTCTTTTTTGAGACAGAGTCCTGTCATAGGTCTGATTGACCAGGCGCTCCAAAGCTCAGGGAAGCCCCGGCCTCAGCCTCTAGAGTGCGAGCTCGCTGGTTTGAGCCACCACTTGAGGGCTCCAGCTCTCATGTTCTTAGGGGCTCCCTACTGGCGAGTGTGGCCCAGCCAATGCTCCAGGCAACAGGAGTGATGGAGGAACAGGCATCGCCTACAGAGGATGGGTGTAGGCAGGACTATGCAGCCCTGAGGTGGCCACTGACTGGGAGCCTCAGCCAGCTGTGAGGCAAGAGAGGTTGTATGGCCCCGGAGTCTGCAGAGGGAACTGTCCCAGAGGGCTTTACTGTCTGTTTTCTCCCTGTGTTGTGAAAGGCCTTGGGAGCTGTCCCATCCCCAACACAGGGGCCAGCTTCTGCTACACAGTGAGTTTGAGGCCAGCCTGGGTTACAGGAAAGTCTGTCTCCTAAAAAATTAAAAGAAAGAGAGAAAAAGAAAAAAGAACTCCAGGTCATCTGCGAATGGCAGCTCCTTCTCTGTCTGTAAACTGTGTCCCAGGCCCAGCCTTCGGCCTCCCTGGCCTGGGTCTCTGTGAGCCCAAACACTGGCGCAGCGCATAGTGCCCTAGGCTACCGGGTGCCTCTGCCTTCTTCTCTTTGTGTGTGGGGGCATCTGGGAGCAGAGGTTGCGGTGAGATGTCATTGGCTGTTGCTCTCTGGGCTTCTCTGTGTATCTGCAAGTGTGTGTGTTGTGTGTCCATCTGTGTGTATCTTTTAATTGTGAGTGTGTCTGTGTGTGACTGTGTGCTCATGTGTTTGTGCATGTGGGTGAGGGTGTGCTGTGCACTGTGCAGCAGACATGCTCCATCACTCTCTGCCTCTTCCTTTTCAGACAGGCTGACACTGAGCCTCGGTCTAGACTGATGGCCACCGAGCCCAGTGCTCCTCCTGTATCCCACAGTCTCACTCAGGGGTTAGAATGAGCATCCAGATTTTCACGTGGGTCCTGGGATTCAAACTTAGGTGCTCGTTCTTGTGAAGAGTGCCCTTACCCACATGCCACCTCCCTGGAACCCACTTCATAGTTTTGAGACTTTGTCTTTCCCTAAGCCCAAAGCTAGCTCCGTTGGCCACACTGGCTGGCCCTGCCCCTGGGTTCTGCCTGACTCTGCCTGACTCCAGGCCTGTGCTCTTGGGGGTCCTCACTCTTGCACAACAAGTACTTTCACAACTGGAGCAGCTCCCTAGCCTCCCTGCTCTTGAGACAATCCCACAATGCAGCTCAGGCTAGCCTACAGCTCCTAGGCTCCAGCAATCCTCCTGCCTCAGCTCCCAAGTGCTGACACCATGGTGTGTCACCATGCACACCTCAGAGACTTTATCTTGTTTTCTTTGTTTGAGATGAGTTCTCACCATAGCCCAGGCTAGTCTAGAAGCTCTGGAAGTCTGACCAGGGAGGCCAGGGACTCCTCAAGTCCCCGTGTGGACCGTTTGGTGGGGTCTCCAGGTCTGCCAGCCTAACCCAGCAAGGGTGACTTTCTGTGATCTCACACATGACGCTTTTTCCTCAAGCTCATGCAGAAACCACAGCAGAACATCTTTCCTGCAGGGGTGTGGCCACCACACTCATTCTGCTGGCACTCTGGAGGCTGAGACGGGGGATTTCTGAGTTCTGGGTCGGCCTAGATGACTTAGCAAAACCATGTCTCAGAACACACTCCCTCTGGGGCCCACAGCGAACATAAGGGAGCCCCCAGTCCCCTTGGCATGTGACCCATGTGTGGAAATGTCCAGAACAGGTAGCTCTACAGAGCCAGGAAGCAGAGGGAACAGGGGGAAGGAGGAAAGGAACAGGAACAGCAGCTGCCTTGCTGACCATGGAATGTCTTGGAATTAGATCCAGGAAATGCTCACACAGTACAGAAAAGCACTAACCGCCATGTAATTGTGCATTTTAACATAAATTTTCACTAAATGAAAACAAAAGAAGCTGGGTGTGCTTGTGCATGCCTGTAATCCCAGCACTGGGGGAGGCAGGAGCAGGGTCTCTGTGAGTTGGGGGCCAGCCTGGTCTACAAAGTGAGTCCAAGACAGCCAGGGCTTCACAGAGAAACCCTGTCTCAAAAAACAAAACAACAACAACAAAAAAGAGAGAAAGAAGAGACAAAAGCTGGGCATGGTGGTGAATGACTCCAGTGTTCTGCCAGCAGGTGGGTGGGTCCCTTAGTTTGGGGCCAGCCTGGTCTACACAGCAAGTTCCAGGACAGCCAGGGCTACACCGGGAAACCCTGTCTCAACAAAATAAATAAAAAAGAGGATGAATGAAGTGGCTTGGCTGACAAAGGCATTTGCCGCGCAGCCTGAGTGCCTGAGTTCCGTCTGCAGGGCCAGTGTGAGGGACAGAGGAACCCGAAGGCCGTTCTGTGCCTCCACGCACGCTCATGGCTGTGCCACGCACACAGTAGTGAGTGGAAAGCCGCCATGTCTGTGTCCGCTGCCCAGAGCACACTCTATTGTCCTTTCCAGTGGAGGAGGTGATGTTCTTACTCCACAAGGAAGATAGCCTCCATCTTCTCTGGAGCTGAGGCTGCCTGGATCCCAGCCTCCTGCCCCAGCATCCTGGGTTGCAGGGCGGTGGAGGTGCTCGGGGCCTCCACATTGCATTGTGTTTTTGGGCATGTACTACACCTGGCTAACGCCCAGCAGGGCCTGCCGGGTTAAATGGCCTGCGTTCTTTCTCTCTGTCATCTTGCTCTTCTTTGTCACACTAGGACTTGAAGTGGGCAGGACAGAAGCTGGGTACTGTTGGCCTTATTCTGTTTATGCCCTCCCTCTGCTCCCTCCTACAGAACAGCCACTCTGCACAGCCACACACAATGGGGAGGAAAAAAATCCAGATCTCACGAATTCTAGACCAAAGGAACAGGCAGGTAAGTTCCCAGGTGATATATTCACCATTAGGGGGGAGTGGCATTCTGGACAGGGCACAGCCAGGCCAAGGTCAAAGGTCTTACAGGAAGGTCTGGGTCCCGAGGCCATCTTGGGGAACCTGGATGTGACAGAAAGCGTGGGTTCTGCTTCTGGACCCCGTCTTCTACTTAGAAGGGAACTGGACACTTGGAGTTGCAAACACGCAGAGAAGTTTTGCAGGTTCAGATGGGAACTGAAGCAGAGAAACTCGCTCTGCAGTCTCCTTAGGAATACCCGCCTTAACGCCCCTTCCCCTCACCCCGACTCTGCGGCTGCGACACAGGTGACGTTCACCAAGCGCAAGTTCGGGCTGATGAAGAAGGCTTACGAGCTGAGCGTGCTTTGTGACTGCGACATCGCGCTGATCATCTTCAACAGCGCGCAGCGCCTCTTCCAGTACGCGAGCAGCGACATGGACCGGGTGCTGCTCAAATACACTGAGTACAGCGAGCCGCACGAAAGCCGCACGAATGCGGACATTCTGCAGGTACCTGAAGCCACACGCAGTCCCCGCCGCGCTGTGTGGCCCGAGCGGCTCCAGATCCTTTCCTCTAACACTGTGGGGACCCGAATCTCGAATCTCGGAGGGAACTAGCTGAGGTTTTAATCCCTGGGGTCCAGTTGGAGCAGGCCACGCCCATCTGTAGCCCTCTGTGCAGACTGGCTGGGGAAGGTCTGCTCTCCCAGGTCCCGAGAACCGAGTTCAGGACCGGAGGGCCCACCCTGTCATCTGCTGTTCCCACAGACACTGAAGAGAAGGGGCGTGGGCCTTGATGGGCCTGAGCTGGAGATGGAGGAGGGGCCAGAGGAGAAGCTGCTGAGGACGCTGGGCAGCCACCGGGGCTCCCCCTCGCCGCTGCCTCGGATCTATGTGAGAGATAGACCCTATTTCTTCTTCCCCCACCCCAGACACTTCCAACTCAGAGTCTGAAGCCAAGTCTCAGGGAGTAGTGATAGAGCCAGACGGGGGGTGAGGAAGCTAGGCTAGTCCTGGGTGGGTGACGAGCCAGTCCCCGAGGAAGGCGCTTTATGGCCTGGGCTTCGAAGGGTAGTAACGGTTCAGCAATCAAGTCTTCACGCCACAATGTCTCAGATGATCTGAAACCCAGTGCCTGCAGAGAGGCTGTGCAGCAGACGTGGAACCCACCGAGCAACCCCAGCCTTGGGTCTAGAGCGACCCTCTTTCTTCGGGGTCTTCGGGGGCACAAAGTCCCTCTTTCTTATCTACCCCCCCCCCCCCGTCTCTGTCCACAGCCCGTGGCCCCTGCGATGTCGGTCTCAGAGCTGTCATACCGGGTCCCACCGGCCGCCCCGGGCTGTGACCCTGGTGAGCTAGGGGAGGCCCCGTCTGCCCACAGCCGCCCGCCTCACTTTCGACCCCCGGGTGAGCGTTAGGAGCAGCCAGGGTAGGGAGGGCAGAAGGGCGCGAGGGATCCGGGCTTTGGGTGACAGGACCGCCCCTCTCTCCCTGGATCTTTCCCCAGGCCTGGGACACCCCATCTTCTCTCCAAGCCATTTCGCGGGAAAGACGCCCCCACCCCTGTACCTAGCGACTGATGGACGGAGGCCAGATCTGCCCCCGGGCCTGGTTGGGACCCGAGGGGGACTAGGCACCTCGGTGAGAGGGAAGGGAGCTGGGAGAGGAGGAAGGAGGAAGAAGGGGGAAAGAGAGAGGGAGGGGGCAGATGGTCACGCCCAGGCCTCAGTTCTTCCTTGCTGTCCTGCAGAGGAGTCTGTACGGCGGCCTGCAGAGCCCAGGCGCCGCCCCGGGCCCGGCTCTGGGTAGCTTTGCCTTCCTGCCAGCAGGCTCCTCAGGTGCGCTCCCCCCCCCCCACTCCCGTCTGACTTGTCTGCCTCGCTGGGGTCCCTCGCCCCAACCCTGAGTCCTCAGGGTGGGAGGGCTGGGGTACTGACAGGAGTCCCGCTCAGCCAGCCTCTGCCTGCAGAGTGCAGCCCCGGAGACACCGCTCAGCTCCCGCTGCCCCCCTCGCCCTGGCCACCGACGAGGGACGCCGCGGATCCCGCCCGGCCAGCGTGAGTTGGGCACCCCCTGGCGGCCGGGAGTTAGACTCGCCGGGGCTGTGGGTGGGGCTGTGAGCTTTGGAACACCAGGGTCACAAGCTTTCTTCTGTATCTTGTGGGTCTCCCCCTTCCTGCCCCTCTTCCCCCGTCTCTCCAGCAGTGCCCGCAGCCTATGTGAGGAGGGTCCTCCTAGCCGAGTGGCCTCCCCTCCGACGCCTCCAGTCAGCATCAAGTCCGAGCGTCTGTCTCCAGCCACTGGGGCCTCTGGTGACTTCCCCAGGCCCTACCCCTACCCATTGCTCCTTGCTAGGCCCTTGGCAGAGCCATTGCGGCCCACGGCCTCCCTGCGCCGCCTGACCCCTGACGGCTGGCCGCGGTAGCGCCCCAGGGGTCTTCTCCAGCCTCCACGGAGATCCCGCAGTCTTGGGTTCCCTGCACAACCAGGAGGGCGAGGGCACCAGTGTGCAGCACTGTGAGATCCCTTCCTGGGGGCCACTGCAGTCAATAAAGCCCAAGGATCCGGGGTGGGGCTCTGGCCCGGGTAGCCGCCCAGAGCCCCCGCCCCGAGCTCGGGATAGCCACATCCAGTCTCCCCAAAGGCCTCCTTTATTCCTACACTGGTTTGGGGTGCACACCGCAGAAACGGATTCTGAGAGGAAGGACAGGTGGAGGGTGGGGGTTTGACAAAGGAAGAAGCAGCCACAGGGGACGCCGCCAAGGGCAAGCCAGAGGGTCCGGGCTGCTCCCAGAAGTGTGAGGCTGGGACGAGTCCATAGCCAGGTTACCATAGCTGGTGCCAGTGGAGGTAAGAGTGGGTTGTCGGTGAGGGCCAGGAGTTCTAGGCCAGCCTGGGACCGAAGAGACACTGCTTCCAAAAAGTAAACAGGAGGCCACCCAAGATGGCTCAGGGGGTAAAGGCACGTGCTGCCATGCCAGTCTTGTTGACCTGAATTCTATTGCTGAAAGTTCTATTGGAGGAAGGAAAGAACCAGCTGCCTGCACGCTGTCCACGTGGAGGCACCCCCACACAGACACAGACGCACTCTCAAAAGGAACGAAAAAATATATAAATGGGGAGAGGGAGGGAATGGTTCACTGGTAAGAGAGCTTGCTGTGCAGGCAGTAGGATCTCACACCCACATGAAGAGCTGGATGTGGTCGGCATCTGTAACCCAGGGCCACTAGGGAGGTGGAGACAGGCTCACTGGGTTTGCTGGCCCAGCTCCGGAGATGTAGTGGCAGGCCCTGTCTGAAGGGAGTAAGCCACCTGCCCCACCTTCTCTGGCCTCCTCAGCTGTGTTGGCACTGTCCCACAAGTAGACAGACATAAAATATGTACAAACAAAGAGGGAAGCCAGGGCTCTTTCAAGGACACCCTCCTTCAAGTGTGTCTTGGGCTGAAGAGGCTATGATGAGAATATGTGATCATGTGACTAAGTTCAGGCTCCCGATGCCCTGGTAACAGGGTCCTACAGAATATCTGTTAACCTGAGCTCGGGCTGAGGCTGGCTACCTGCCTGTCTAGCCTAGAAAACTAAGCTTTGGGTTCAGGCAGAGTCCCTGGCTCAAAGGGGACACCTGTTGTCCTCATAGCTTCTGGGAGGTCACACACACTCACCTGTGTGATTATTACACACAAACATCTTTTAGCTTTTAAAGGGGTCATTCCCTGGGGCAGGCGAGATGGGTCTGCCAGGGGGAAAAGGCGCTTGCCACTCTGCTTTCTATCCTGGGAGGGAACTCACATCGGGGAAGGAGAAACGGACCCCAGAAGCTGCCCTGCATTTGCAGCAGCATCCTGTCCCCTTTCTCCAGTCCATAGGTCAGTGGTTCTCAGCGTAAGTCGTGAGCCGGCTTGCAGGGTTGCCTGAGATCATCTCAGAACAGATACTCACATTACAATTGTTAACAGTGGGAAAGCTGCAGTGGAGAGGGAGCAACAGAAGTGCTAATTTTAGGTTGGGGTCACCAGAACATAAGGAGCTGTGCCAAAGTGTTGCAGCAGTAGGAGGGGTGAGAGCCGCTGTCCGTGTTTTTGTGTAGTTTTTTGAAACAGACTTTCCTCTGGCTGTCCTGGACTCACTTTGTAGACCAGGCTGGCCTCCAACTCACAGAGATCCTCCTGTCTCTGACTCCTGGAGTGCTGGGATCACAGGTGTGTGCCACACCCGGCTGTTACTCTTCAGGACAGGCTTTCTCTGTGTAGCCCTGGCTGTCCTGAAACTTGCTGTGTAGACCAGGCTGGACTCCAACTCAGATGAGCGTGCCTCTGCTTCATTCATGCTTTAATAATTACTATATGATCATGATGGTGTGTGTGTGTTCACATGTTCGTAGAAGCACCCAGGAAGGTCAGAGAGGACATGAGATCTCTCGAGCTGGAGTTACAGGTGTTTGTGAATTGCAGGGTGTGTGCTGAGAACTGAACTCAGTCCCAGGGTCTGTGAACTGCAGGGTGCGTGCTGAGAACTGGACTCAGTCCTCACGATAGAGCAGCACCCCTCTTACCTGCGAGCCTTCTCCCCAGCACACCAACCTCCACACTCTTACTTTTCTAGACAGGGTCTCACTCTGTACAAGGCATAACTGTCCAAATGGTCTTTGTTTTCGAGACAAGGTTTCTCTGTGCTGGGATTAAAGGTGTTCCCCACCACACTCAGCACTCAGCTGTGTGTGTGTGTGTGTGTGTGTAAAAACAAGTTTTAAAAAACAGGTTTCTAGGGCTGGAGAGATGGTCCAGAGGTTAAGAGCACTGGCTGCTCTTCCAGAGGTCCTGAGTTCAATTCTCAGCAACCACATGGTGGCTTACAACCATCTATAATGAGATCTGGTGCCCTCTTCTGGCATGTAGGCACACATGCAGGCAGAACATTGTATACATAATAAATAAATAAAAATTTAAAAATAGGTTTCTAGGCTCAGCCCTCCCCTTCCACCTAAGCCCTGGGGCTCATTAAGAAACAGAAGCAATGAGCACCTGCTGCATGCAAGACTGAAGCAATGAGTACCTGCTGCATGCACACAAGACTGAAGCAATGAGCACCTGCTGCATGCACACAAGACTGAAGACAGGTTGTGAAGCCTGAAAGGACCCAGGAGAGGCCGCTGGGTTCTAGAAAGATTCCTCGGGTTTCCATAGCCCAGATGTTGAGCCAGAAGGGTATAGAAAGGTTTCTAAGAAATAAATAGGCCCGCTCACAACTGTCTGTAACTCAAGTTTCAGGGAATATGACACCCCACACACAGGCGAATGCAAGAAAAACACCAATGCAAATAAAATTTAGAAGAAGAACCTAGAACCACCAGTCCAGGGATGGCACCACCCATTCACCCATTATGGGCTGGCCTCCCACATCCATCACTAATTAAGAAAATGACAACATATTTGCCTACAGCCCAACTTTATGGAGGCATTTTCTCTATTTCCTTCCACTCAGATGACTTCAGCTTTTGTCAAGTTGACATAATAGCACACTGGACAGACCATAAACGAGACCCAGATGGCTCACGGAACAAAGTAGCTGTACCTCAAGCATAATTACATGAGTTCAAATCCCACACTTACAAAAAAGCCAGGTGCGGTCTGGTGTTTGTAACTCCAGCAGAAACACCCACCTTCTCTCAGCAGAACGTTCCGAGTCTAGAGGATCGAAGTCATTGTGAATGACCTCACACAGACATCCAGAGATTCATAAACAGTGACAGGTTCACCCACAGAAGCAGCATAGTCAAATGTGTAGACATCATTCCACGGGAATGTACCCTGTAAGGCAGTCAGACACCCAGTGGTGCCCAGGACTTAACAGAGGCAGAGCTGTCCTTTCTCCAAGCCACCCAGGAAGGACTGTGGGGTCCTAAGGTCACACTCAGTTCTTGATCAAGGTTTGTCTGAGACCGAGGTTGTAGTATGTAACAGCTTTTGTTGGGTTGTAAAATGGGGTCTCCTTGTAGAGCTCAGACTGCCATCTCAGGCTGGTCTCCACTTCACAAGCCTCCTGACCTGGCCTCTCAAGCCCTGAGTCACACGTGTGCGCGACCACATCACACTGTGGCTCTTTTCCCAGCGTTTTTTATTACATAAGCCCAAAATTTCTTCCTGTTGAGCCTTTTGGAATTTGAGCCTGACAATGTATCCCTAACTGGCCTGGGACTCATTATGTAGATCAGGCTAGCTCCAAACTCACACATACACAAAAAGACCCCAAAAAGACCTCCTCTCTCTCAATCATGCAGGAACTAGAGGTGTGAGCTGCCAAGCCCAGGCAACATCCCTTTAAAAATTTAAGATTATTGTATCAGTGTGTGCAAGTGCATAATGTATGTTTGAATTGTGTAGAGGTTAGAGGTCAGAGGTCAACTTGCAGGCATTGGTTCTCTCCTTCCACCATGTGGGTGCCAAGGTTGGAACTCAACTTGTCACCTTGGTAAGAACCTCCTTTGTCCAAACATCTCATTGGCCTAGCAGTTGTCCCTTCCTGTTTCTAAATTTTGTTTTTTGTTTTGGCTTTTGTTTTTTTGAGACAGGGTTTCTCTGTGTAGCGTTTGCTGTTCTGGACTCACTTTGTAGGCCAGGCTGCTGGCCTCGACCTCACAGAGATCTTCCTGCTTCTGCCTCCCTAAGTGCTAGGATTACAGGCATGCACCACCATGCCTGATGACTACACTTTGTTTTTTTGAGACAGTTTTATGATAAGCAGCTCTAGCAGCCTCAAATTGGCTACCCAGCCCAGGCTGTGTCTGAACTTAATGCATTCTCCTGCCTCATCCCTCCAAGAGAGCAGACAACCCTGTGTTCAGCCACATCTGGCTTGCTCGTGGGAAAAGTTTGGCTCAGAGAAGTGAGCCACAAGCAGATGTCCAGACTACACTCTGGATCTGGGTAACTGCACAGCGAGCTAGGGAGGCCACTCACACAGTGCAGGGCTTGCCTGTGCGTAGCTGAGCTCCACCCCCAGCAGGCGCAAGGTGTGCTGGAGGATCAGAATCAAGGCCATCCTTGCCCACGAAACAAAGTTCAGACCTCCCTAAAAATAAACAGAGCCAGAAAGCTTGTTCAGTGGGCTGAGGCCTTTCCTGTGAAACCTGAGTGTGATCCCCTGCGGCTAGATGATAGGAGAGAACTGACTCCAGCAAGGTGTCCTCTGCCCTCCACACACACAAATAAATAAATGTGGTAAGAAACACTCCCCCAAATAAAAACAAAATGGGGACCAGAAAGTTACTGGTTGGTTAGGAGTGAGCACTGTCCCTGCAGGGGACCCAAGTCCAGGCCAAGCCCCTTCCTCAGTCTGTAGACAGCCATGTGTACCTTCGAGTTCAAAGGAGCTGGTCCCGCCTGCGGACCCGGGGCACGCTGCACTTGCCCAGACACCTATGAGCTGTGGTGCAGGACTTTAACCCCAGCACTCTGGAGGCAGAGGCAGGCAGATCTCTAAGTCTGAGAGTCCACAAGGCAAGTTACAGGACAGCCAGGGCTATACATAGAAACCCTGTCTTGAAAAAAAAAAAAAACAAAAGCACTTGGGTAGGCTGAGGTCGAATCCAGGACAGTCAAGGTTTGTCTTAGTTTTAGTTTTTTGTTTGTTTGTTTATTTATTTTTTGTTAACGGTTTTTTAATTTATTATTTGTACAGTTTTCTCCTTGCACGCCAGAAGAGGGCACCAGATCTCACTATAGATGGTTGTGAGCCATGTGGTGCTGGGAACTGAACCCAGCCTTTGAGAGAGCAGCCAGTGCTCTCACCTCTGAGCTCCTCTCCAGCCCCCATCAGAGCTTGTTACACAGAGAAACCCTGTCTCAAAAGACAAAACAAAAATAACAAAAGAGCATGGGCTACCACCGCCCAGGCTAACCAAGGAATCTTATCTGTCAATCTCTCTCTCCCTTTTTCCCTCCCTCTCCCCCCACCCCCGTTTATTTTGGAGACAGGGTTTCTCTGTGTGGCATTTACTGTCCTGGAATTCACCCTGTAGACCAGGCTATCCTTAAACCCACAGACGTGCATGTCCACTTGCTTCCGCTAGGAATTAAAGCCACCTTTCCTGACTGAGAAAGGAAACTTTTTTTTTGAAGGTCCCACGTGTTGATGAGTGCCTTAAATCTCCACCCTAGGGGAACAGAGGCAGCAGACTGGCGTTAATCTCACACACACACGGGGGGAAGAAGAAAGGCACATAAGAGAAAGAAGGAAAAAGAGCAGACAGAAAGGCTCATGCACCAGCTAGAACTACAATTCCCGGCATGCATCGCGCACCCCTTCGTAGCCCGACGACTGGCTTTTTCGGATGCTCGTCAACAGGATCCGTATTCTAATTGGCCGAGATCCCGCGACGCCTTCCCGCCTCCTGCCTTGTGCGTGGGTGAACCTGAGGAGCAGACATGGTGAGTAGGCCCCGTGGGGTTCCTCTCGGGGGCCGTGCGGCGTCCGGGAAGGCGGAGGGAGGCGCGGATATTGTGGGGAAGGAGGACGGCCCGGCTGAGCGGAGGGGCACCCCCGAAGGCTTGGCGGCCTGGTGGGCGATTGGAAGTGGGTGAAGTCGTGGTGCCGGGCGCGCGCGGTGGGAGGGAAGCAGGGCTCTGGTCAGGACTGAGGGAGCCCGGATGGCAGCAGGCTCTGTTTTCTGGCAGGGTCTCATGTAGCCCGGGTTGTACCAGCACTTGTTCGTAGCCTAGGGTGACCTCGAACTTCTGAGTCTCCTGCCTCCGGAGTGCTGGGATGACAAGCTTGTGCCACGGCTTTCTGTTTTTCTTTTTAAACAGTTTTTTCATCACGATATTTATTTATTAAGTATGCACGTTTTGTTTGTGTGTCCGTGTACCACCTGTGTGTCTGCTGTTACTAGCGGCCAGAGAAGCCACACAGACTCCTTGGGATGGAGTTAAGGCCATGAGCTGCCGAGTGGATGCTGGGAACTGAACGTGTGTCTTCTGGAAGAGCAACCTGAACCTTCTCCCTAGCATCCCCCTCCTTTATTTTTTTTATTTTAACCCGTTAAAAAAAATGTTATTTGCAAACGGTCTCACCAGGCAGTGGAGCTGGAGTGGTGGCCTGCGTTATTCCCAGCACTCAGGAGGCAGAGGCCGGGGCACCTCTGATTTCCAGGCCAGCCTGGTGTATACAGAGCCAGTTCCGGGACAGCCAGGGCTACACACTGAAACCCTGTTTCTAAAAGCCTACACAGACGTGTACACCCGCACGCCTGGCTCACAGATTATTTTTAATGACCAGTTGGTTTTTATCTTAATCTGTATTTCATGTTAGTTAGCTATAACAGCAGAACACTGGCAGACAGCTCGCCTGGCACATAGTTTGGATGATTAGATAATTATGGAAATTAGTTCTGTGTGAAGCAGGTGCCTGGCTCAACTTCTGACTGGAAGGTCTGTGAGGCTGTGCTCTGAACTGTCTAGGATGTGGTGGAGGGCTGGGGCGTTCTTTGGTGAGGTGGCCACCGGGCATGGGAGGCTCCGTTCCTGCACCACACAAACTGGGTGTGGGTGCACACTTGTCTTCCCAGCACTCAGGAGGCAGCAGAGTCAGCGGTTCAAGGTCATCTCCAGCCACACATTGAGGTCCAGGCCAGCCTGGGCTACAGAAGCCCTTTCCCCTCTCTCTGGCCTGGAACTCAGGCACAGTCCTGGAAGGAAGGAAACATCCTTTAAACAACTAGTTGGGTGTGATGGCTCTGGACTGTAATCACAACACTGGAGAGCCAGAGGCAGTCAGATTTCCATAGGTTCCAGGCCAGCTTGAGCATAGGGACAACCAGGGCCATAAAACAACAAAAATACACCAGGGACAAAGGTTTGAAGACTGATGAAGCTGGGGTGAGCACCAAGTCAGCTGGGACTCCCAAGATGGACTCTGGCTTATCTTCTGGCCCTCCCCCTCCGCCCACCTTCCCTATAAATAGCCAGGGTTACTTCAGGGAGCTTGAGACTTTCTGACCAGAGCCACTCCCTCAGGCCGTCCTCGGAGCACAGCTGGTGGTGACACTGTTTGCGGCCACCCTCATGCACAGGCTGGCGCCGCACTGCTCCTTCGCCCGCTGGCTGCTCTGCAATGGCAGGTGAGGCAGGCTCTTCCGCTTTGGCCCTACCCAGGTCACCTGGTGGATGTGGCCTCCTCCTCTTTCTTCTTTTTTTACTTTTGGTTTTGTGTAGGTGTGTGTCTGTACATGTGGGGTTGTACACAGGGACCTGGGGGTGACAGAAGCATCAGAGCTGTAGTTACAGACAGTTGTGAGCTGCCTGGCATAGGGGCTGAATCCAGCCCGGGTCCTCCAGAGAAGCCCCAAGTCTTGTTGTTTTTAGATAGAGTCTCACACTGTACCTCAGGCTGCCTTTACAGGCAATTGCCCTACCTCAGCCTGCCATTAGCATTTAAAAAACAGATTTCTTTTCAGTTGTGTGTGTGTGTGTGTGTGTGTAGTCTGTGGTCTATGCCTTTTCTAAGAACTGTTGTTACAGGTGGTTGTTGTCTTGAGACTAGAGCACTGGGCATTGGCAGAGCTGGGGCAGTGTTGTCCTGTGGGCAGGTGAACCAGGGTGCCTGGGTGTAGCCATAGCTAGGGGAGTTCTGAGATCACGGGACGAGGAGGACTGACGCAGCCACAAGGGGCTCAGGGATCAAGGGCACCCATACAGCTTTGCCTTGGGCCCCTGGGCCAAGCTTTCCTAACTTTTTTCACCTTCAGTTTGTTCCGGTACGTCCATCCATCTGAGGAGGAACTGCGGGTGCTGGCAGGGAAACCAAGGCCCAGGGGCAGGAAGGAGCGGTGAGTGATCTGCCTTTGACCCCATGGAGCCCAGGCAGAGCTATGCCCGCCTGTCCAGGGAAGGCCTCACTCCTGCCTGAGGGCTCCAGGCTGGGGAACATGGCCTCTCCTACCACTTACAGTGCTACTTGCTGGGTGGCTGCAGATAGCATCTTGTGTTCCTGGCTGTTTGCTCTGGGCTGGCCCTGTTCCAAGCCAGCACCACCCCATCTAGGAGGCCCAGAGATGTCACCTCTCACTGTTCCCATATGCTCAGGTGGGCAAATGGCCTTCATGATGAGAAGCCATTGTTGGTGCCTCGAGATGCCCATTTCCAGCTGGCGACCTGTCCCCTCACGGCTGTGGATGCCCTAGGTAACACCCAGTTCAGTCCCTACTCCCCTACCCCATGCTGGGGTCCAGGCTGTAGGCCAGGCTGACCTGCCCAGGAGGGCTTTGGGTCAGGCAAGCCTGGAGCAGACTGCTGAGCTCCTGTCCCCGCAGTCCTGCGCTTCTTTCTGGAATACCAGTGGTTTGTGGACTTTGCTGTGTACTCCGTCGGTGTATACCTCTTCACGGAGGCCTACTATTTTGTGCTGGGCCCGGTTCAGGAGACCAACATCGCTGTGTTCTGGTGTCTGCTCACCCTGGCCTTCTCTCTGTATCCTTCCTCTGGGGCTCAGCGTGTGGGTGAGTGGGACTCGGGCCCCTCTAACTTGCAGCCTGTGGGGTCTCCCACTGTGCCCGAAACCTGCTCCAGAGTTGGAGGTGTGCAGGCCGCTCCGGTCTCGACCTCCTGGCTCTCCCTCCAGCACTCAGCTGATGGGTGTGTAGTACTGCGTTACACACGGTCTGTGTTTGTGGTGGGCTCCTTTCCCTCCAGGTCTATAGAATCAAGAAAACCAGGGGACAGCTGGGAGACCGCCCATCCTTTTTTGTTTGTTTTGTTTTTTCGCCCCAACTCAGAGATGACCGTGCCTCTGCTTCCTAAATGCTGGGATTGAAGGTGTACACCATCACCGCTTGAGCCATCTTTTTACCCAAAACTTCTAGCATATTCTTTGCATCAAAAAGCATGTCACCAGGCCAGCTGAGCTGGGAAAGACCTGTCCTTCTGCATTGAGAGCCGAGGCCCAGGTGTGCTGGGGACCCCAGTCTGAGAAAGCGCAGACCCCTCGGGGATCAGCTGGTTACCAAGTGCTCAGGGTGTGAGTCGGAGGGGAGATTTCAGAGTTGAACCCTTTTGAGGGGGTTGTATCTTAGGGGAGTTTTAAGGTGGCTGATGGAGGCAATGAGTGTCTTTTGCTTTTAAATACTAACTAAAGCCTTGTACAGGGTGTCTGTACAGGTGAACTTGGCTCAGAATCCGTGGATGTGGCTGAGCACACAGGAAGAGGCCCCTGGGTTTACACACAGAGGCTGGGGTTCTATCCACTGTCCCCCTAGAAGAAACATAGCTTCTGCCTTTTCCATAGCATTCAAATGCTATCCCTGCATGGGCTTTTTACTGTCCCTCCTCCCATAGATGCAGCTGCTGTGATGATTTCTGATTGACCATAGGTCATTAGGCCACCTTCAACCAAGTACCAGCGCCCCCAGCTCGTTTGATCCCAAACCCCAAGTTTAAACTTGAGGCACCCAAGGCCAGTTCCTGCAGTGTTGACTGTACCCTGGAGAAGTGGCTCTGGGGACCCCCCCCCAGCCTGTCCCTGGCTTTCTTAACTCTAACTCCAGCAAAATGTTCCTCATGGTGACCCGGCTGTACTTCAGCGCCAAGGAGGGTGGCGAGCGCTCCGTGTGTCTCTCCTTCGCCTTCTTCTTCCTCCTCCTGGCCATGCTGGTGCAGGTGGTGCGGGAGGAGAGCCTGGAGCTGGGCCTGGAGCCAGGTGGGTGTGCCTCCATGCTTGGGACCCAGTCCACTTTGTTTTTGTTTCTTTCCAGACCGGCCTCACTCTGTGGCCCAGGCTGGTCTCAGATTCACAGAGATCCTTCTGACTCTGCCAGCAGAGTGCTGGGATTAAGATTTATCTGTTATTACTATAAAGTGAACCAAGATTGTGCAGTACGTACAAAGGGCCAGAAGAGGGCACTGGAGTTAGAGAGGCTTGCAAGGGATACGTGTGTGCTGGGATACAAACGTGGGTCTTGTGAAAGAGCAGCAAGGGCTTTTAACTGCTGGGCCATCTCCCTAGCCCCTGTTTTGTTTGTTATTATTTAATTATTTGTTTTATGTATGTAAGTGCTATGTCTCCGTGCACACCAGTAGAGGGCATTAGATCCCATTACAGATGGTTGTGAGCCACCACCTGGCTGCGAGGAATTGAACCCAGGACTCTGAAAAGCAGTTAGTGTTTTGTTTTCCCGAGACAGGGTTTCCCTGTGTAACAGCCCTGGCTGTCCTGGAATTACTTTGCAGACCAGGTTGGCCTCAAACCCGCAGAGATCCACCTTCCTCTGCCTCCTGAGTACTAGGATTACGGGTGTGCCCCACCATGCCCAGCTACAGTTACTGTTCTTTTTTAAAAGATTTGCTTATTTATACAGTGTTGTGTCTGCATGTACACCTGCAGGCAAGAAGAGGGCCCCAGATCTCGTTATAGATGGCTGTGAGCAGGCATGTGGGTGCTGGGGGTTGAACTCGGGACCTTTGGGAGTCAGTGCTCCTCACCTCCGAGCATCTCTCCAGCCCCCATTGGCATTCTCAGTTGTGCCGTCTCTCCAGCCCCCATGCTTCAAGATTTATTTACAATTTTTATTATGTGAATGTATGTGTTAGTGTGGGGGTGCTACTGGAGACTAAAAGAGGGTGTTGGGTATCTCAGAGCATGAATTACCCTCTGTGAGTCTTGGGAATCAAACTGGGGTCCTCTTGGCCAGTGCCTTCTCCTCTGAGCCATCTCCCCAGTCCTAGGTTGTTTCTTTTTTTTTTTTTTTTTTTTTTTATTTATTTAAGATTCATTTATTTATTTATTACTTAGACAGCATTCTGTTTGCATGTGTGCCTGTACACCAGAATAGGGAACCAGATAGTTGTGAGCCATGTGATTGCTGGGTATTGAACTCTGGACCTTTGGACGAATAGCCAGTGCTCTTAACCTCTGAGCCATCTCTCCAGCCCCCAGTTCTGCTTGTTTGTTTTTTGTTTGCTTTTTAAGACAGGGTTTCTGTGTGTAGCTCTGGCTGTCCTGGACTCACTTTGTAGACCAGGCTGGCCTCTAACTTAGAGATCCGCCTGCCTCAGCCTCCCAGAGTGCTGGGATTACAGGTGTGCGCCACCATGCCTGGCTTCTAGTTTCTGTTTCTTGAAGAATCCTGCACAGTCTGGTCCCAGCGGGGCTCACTGACAGGGCACCTTTGTATCATGTGTGGAAGCCCTGGGCTGCGCTTCAGCACAGGAAAATACAGGTTCAATTAAAATAGATGTCTAGCCCAGAGTTTGGGTCAGTATGCCAGCGTTTGCTCTACAGGCGTGAGGACATGAGTTTGCACCCATGTAAAAGGTAGAAATTGGCCACCCACACCTGTAAAGCCTGAGGGCGGTGGGGCAGCACTCAGGTGGCAGAGACAGGTGGGTCTGAAAGCTTGGAAGTCCAGTCAGCCTGGCTTCTTTGGAAACCATAGCACTTGAGGTCACTTGATCCTCTCCTTCCCTCAGGCCTGGCCAGCGTCACACAGAACCTAGAGCCTGTTCTGAAGAAGCAGGATTGGGACTGGGCGTGAGTCTGGGGGACTGGATATTGGGGGTGGGTGCAGGTAGGGGAGCATCCATAGCCCACTCCCTGCGGGCTGAATTCTGACCAGTCACAGGTGGGTTTTTTGAGACCATCTCTTCTCCTCAGACTCCCCGTGGTCAAGCTGGTCATCCGCCTTGGACTGGCAGTGCTAGGCTCTTTGCTGGGAGCCTTCCTCATTTTCCCTGGCCTGAGGCTGGCCCAGACCCACCAGGATGCCCTGACCCTGTCTGCAGACCGGCCTCTGATGCAGTTAGGCGGGTCTCCCTGGGTGGGAGGGAGGTTGTGGGAGGGGTCAGGAGCCTGGTCCTACCTTGCTGCTCGCCCCCAGGCTGCTCCTGCACGCCAGCTTCCTGTCGCCCCTGTGCACCTTGTGGCTCTGGACAAAGCCGGTTGCTCGGGACTTCCTGTATCAGGCATCTATGAAGAACGTGACCTTTTCTCTGTGCGTGTTGGGGGCTGCTGAGAGACCTGGGGTGTCTGAGGCCATGAGCTGGAAAGATCGTGGCCTGGGGAAAGAGGCCTCACCCAAACTCCCTACCTGCTTGGCTCTTGTTGCAGGCCGTCAGAAGGGGCCTTTGACTCCTTGCGCCTCTGGGTGCTGGTGGCCCTGTGTCTGCTGCGGCTGGCGGTGACCCGGCCACACCTGCAGGCCTACCTGTGCCTGGCCAAGGCTCGCGTGGAGCAGCTGCGCAAGGAGGCTGGCCGAATTGAGGCCCGAGAGATACAGCAGCGGGTGTGTGCTCAGGGAGGGACGGTCCTGGGGCTGAGGGGACCTGGTTGTGGGGTCCCTTCCCTGGAAAAACCACCCCCCTGCAGTCTCACTGCCTCCCCCGCCAGGTGGTCCGAGTTTACTGTTACGTGACCGTGGTGAGCCTGCAGTACCTGACTCCGCTCATCCTCACTCTGCATGGCACACTGCTGCTCAAGACCCTGGGTACAGGGCTGCTGGGAGAGAGGGCGGGCCAGCAGGAGAGGGGGTGGAGCTGGTGGGTAGAGATGGGGCTGTGGCCTGGTAAGGGTTGGGCAAGGCTGCAGACAAGACCTATAGGTTGGAGGCAGGACCATCAGGCTAATGTGGGTGGCGTCCCTGAGATATAACTTGGGGTGTGGCAGCCTCTAGACTCCCTCCATTTTGTCTCCACCCATAATTCCTTTCTTCATCCTTGCAGGTGGATACTCTTGGGCCCTGGGCCCTGCTCCTCCTCCAGTGGCCCCATCCCACTTCTCAGACACTTTGATCTCTGTAGACCCAGCAGGAGATGAGGCCCAGCAGACTGCTGCCCAGGTCGCAAGGATCCTGGGTAGTCTGCTCACGCCCCTCTTCCTCCGTGGGGTGCTGGCCTACCTCATCTGGTGGACCGCTGCCTGCCAGCTGCTTTCCAGCCTCTTCGGCCTCTATTTCCACCAGCACCTGACAGTCTCTTAGCATGATGCTTTCTAGGTGCTGGCCACCAGGACTTCGACTGTCCCCTGTGCCTCAGAGCCCCTAGAATACCTAGGGCTTAAGGGTGGGAACTCCCCACTGTCTCTCACTTCAGTGCCTAGATCATGGACTCCTTGAATCACTCTTCCTTGGGCCTAGAGGCCATGGGCTTCTGTGTGTGTGTATGTGTGTGTGTGCATGCACACATGCACGCGCCCTTTTTACAGAAATATCCAAGAGGCTAGGGAGATGAGCAGGGGAGACCTAGATGGTGTGTCAGGTCTGAGAGAGAGGTACTAGGAAGGAGTGGAAAGCTGGAGGTCAGAGGCGGCTATGAGAGAGCTAGTGGTGGGGCTCTGGCTGTCACTATGACCAGGAGGGAGGCTGAGGAAGGAGGATTAGCCTAGACTAGTAACAAGATCATGTCTCTAAAACAAGAAAGGGAGAGAAACTGTCACCATCCTCCAAAGCTGTGAGGATAATGGCTGTCATGGATTTCTAGGCCTTGGTGACTGAGACTCACCCCAGCTCCAGGGTTGTCCTCTTGCTGTGACTTAGTGTGCATGTGTGTGTTTGTGAGACAGGCATGGGCTGTGTGACCCTCCTGCATATACAGACTGTGTCCTGAGAATAAAAACAAATGGAGGGCTCCAGCGATGCCTGACCGCGCTACCAGTGTCACCCGACCCGGCTGTCTGGATGACATGTTCAGGAGCCAGTGCTCAGTCTGGTTCTGGGGAGAAGGCACCTGGTCTCTGTCCAGGAAGACTTCGAGAGAGTGCCTGTGAGCACAGACACAGGTCCCACGATACGATAGGTCTGTATGTGAGAGCAGGGAGCAGAGGACAACTCAGGGAGCAGGTCCTACATCTTGAGACAGGGCCTCTTGTACTCGCCCGAATCCTCAGGTTAGCTGACCAGTAGCTTCAGGGAGTCTCTGGTTCCCACCTCCCACTCTGCTGTAGCAGTGCTGGGATTACAGATTGATGCAGCAGTGTCCCACTTTATGTGGATTCTGGGGACTTGAACTCGGGTCTTTGTGATTGCAACAAGTCTGGCTGAATGAATCCATGGGATTTCCTTGAAGGTCTATATATAGTTTCTCTGCCTTCAAACTGACCCTGACAAAGGGCTGTAGGAGCTTCTGGAAGGTCCATGGGAATCAGAGATGGACAAGAAAAGGGTAATGCCTTGCAGGGGGCACAAAGGAACAGACAGTGCTGGAAAACAAAGGCTCTGCTCTGTGGGACTAAAGAGTGTAGAGCATACATCTCAGAGGGTCTCACCCCAGACACTTGGCTGAGGGCTAACCCCGGCTGGGATGTTTCTAAGCAGAGGTTCCTAGGCTTGTAGCTGATGCCTCTGGTTGCTGAGCATGGTGGAGCTCGGCTCATGACTCTGGAGGGAGAGGCAGGCCAGTCGTCATTATGCAAGAATTTGAAGCCAGCCTGGATTACATACTTTTGACATGTAAATAAATCTATGAGGCATTTCATTTTTGGCAGATTTAGCTACATGGTTACTCTATTCCTGGATCTTTGTCTTTTTTGTGCTGACAAAAGAACCCAGGGCCCTTTGTATAATACATGTTCTGTCCCTGAGTTGCCCCCTAGCCCCTCACTGGGGATTCTAGGGAGCTGTACTGCCCCAGTCCAGGTCTCCATCCTTGGTTATTGGTTTCATTCCTATCCTGTCACACTCCCATCCATGAACAGAAAGATGCACAGTGCTTGGACAAGGATAGCCCAGGGTCTGGAGAGGTGGCTTAGCAGTGAAGGGTACTGACTGATTTCGCAGGGAACCCAGGGCCAGTTCTGAGCACCCATATGCTGACTCATGATCCGTCTATAATTCTGGTCTCAGAGAATGTCTTACAGCCTCCTCAGGCTCCGGGCATGCACAGTCATACATTCATGCAGGCAAAGCACCCATATACAAAATACTTTTTTAAGGTGTCAAATAGTGGCCAGTTGGTCATGGCACACAGCTTTAATCCTAGCACTTGGGAGGGAGGCAGAGGTGGGTGGATCTCTGTGAGTCCAAGGCTACGCTGGTCTACAGAGTGAGTTCAAGGACAACCAGGGCTACACAGAAAAGCCTGTCTCAAAAAATACTAAATTGTTTTCAGCCTGTTTCAGGACTAAAGTTCACAGTATGGGAGAGGGTCCAAATTTGAAGAAGTGAAAAGCAGAAGTTATTTAAATTTTTATTAAATATACTCTCTTGGCACAAATCTTTAAAATATATAAACATTATATATAAACAAAGTGTCTTCATGGCATCAAAATAGAATTCCGTACTAGACACTGACCATGGAAGAGGGCAGCCACAGAGGCCAAGAGCCCCCCAGGCCAGAACCTACTTGGGAGGCATATGGGGAAACAAGAAGATCAGGAACCCATGACACCTTCAACTCTCCTGCCCAGCCGGCTGCCCCATGTCGGGCTTGGCCCAACCATCCACATGGCGCTACCTGCTGGGGTGGCCCAGGAGCCTCCTGGTGTGGGGTGCATAGCCTCCATCCCAGTATGGGGGCCAGGCAGAACACTCAGAAGAGGACAGTCTCTCTCAGCTACCACAGGCTGCTGGGATGCCTGTCAGCCATCTGCAAAGTAGTCGGGGATGTGGCCAAGAATCACAGGCACAAGGTAAGAAACACTGAAAGAGCAAGGACTGCAAGGAGGGCTGAAGACAGCTGGGGTCAAGCCATACTGCTCAGGTCCTACATGTGAGATGCTGCCGTCCAGCTATGCAAACCTAGCTCAGCTGAGCCAGAACCAATTGCACAGGGCAGCGGTTTTGTGTGTGAAGATCCGGGGCAGGACAAATGAACACTAGAAACTAGAGGCAGGAGGATTGCTGCAAGTTAGAGGCTAGCCCAGATAACTGAGGAGCAGGCTAGCCAGGGCTTCTGACTAGGTAGAACTGTCTCAAAGGCTCTAAATCAAGAACCCCAGACATCAGGAGAGACCTTAGATTCCCATGACACCTAGGAGACCACAGGGAGTTGTCCTTGGGGTCAGCTGGCTGATGGTTGGTCCCCAGGTGCCCTGGCCTTTCTTTACTTTCCAGGCCACAGATACCTCTGTACTCATTCACATAGGAAAGGCTACCCATCTTAGGCCTTACTTGGCCTAGCTGAATGACTGTCTCAGTGGGGACCAGGAACCCACAGGAGGCCCAGAGTTCTGGGTTGGGCAGTTTCAAGAGCTTGAGCCCTACCTCCATGAGTGCTATGCATATGAGAGCCTTTGGGCCTGCAAGAGGCCTGGGTGGTGTGCTTTGGGGTACACTCCCAGGTGAGAGACTTCCACATGAATATCTCCAGCGGGGTCTGTACCTGACCCCTTGCCTGGTGGCCGCAGGGCCTCTTGGAAAGGTTACAAGCCGAGTAGCTGGCAAAGGTCTGGTGCAGCCCTCAGGAATGAGATGGGCACAGTACTCTAGGGAAAAAGCTATGTGAGCAAGAGCAGCCATCTGTCACCTGGAGAGGATGGGCAGGCATGGTGGAGGACTGAGGGACACAGGTACGGCCACCACTGAGCAAGCTGTGACCCTCCAGAGTGTGGCTTTGAAAAAAAGGCCATCACATCTGCAGGCCAGGCATGGTCATAGCAACAAGGGATGGGCTCTGAGCCCAGTGTGCCAATGGGCACTAGAATCAGCAGCAGGTCAGAGGACACAGGGCCAGGAAGTGCAGTTGACCCCTTAGGGGCCTTTGGGTAATGGCCCTAGGAGACTCACCAGCCACTAGCAAGGAACTGAAGGGAGGGGCACAGCCAATATCCATCATCACTGTCACACCCTGAGGGCCAGCACCTTGCTATGGGGGTCCTGCAGCCCCAAGCCAGGTCCCGTCCTCAAGGCACCACCAGCACATGGCTGCATTGCCCTCAATCCGCCAGCTCACCGTCTACTGTTGTGTGGGTCTAGCTCTGCAGCTGGCGCAGCAGGATCTGCATGAGGTCAAAAGTGGTGAAGCTGATTCCCACAGCAATCGGGCCCTTCAGCCAGTTCATGCTCAGGCCCTTGTAGAGGCCCCGCACCGCACCCTCTTCACGTACGATGGAGCGCAGCGTGCTCAGGATGGAGCCGTGCTGGTGGCCTGTGACACCTGCCGTCTGCATACGCCGACGCACCACATCCAGAGGGTAGGAGGCTGACTGCCCGATAAGGCCAGCACAGGCCCCGAAGACCATGCGCTCAAAGGGGTAGGGCTGCGGGCGGCCACTGTACTCTGCAAGGCAGAGGTCACATGAGTGTCATGCTTGCAGAACCTAAGCCCCAGTGCCTGGCTACCCTCTCTCAAGTTTCGTGCTGGGAAAGGGACCCAGGGGCTCAGGCATGCCAGGACAATGCTCTGATTCACACTCAAGCCTAACATAAGACATGTTTTGCAACAGTGAGACTTACAAGGTCATCCAGGCTACATGTGTAGTAGTTTCCCCTCATCTATGGGGGTATAGGTCCCCGTCCAGCGGTTCTCAGTGCCCCATCATCTGTGGGGGCAAATTCCAAGCTTCTCCATGGATACCTGAACTCTTAGAATACAGGCTATACGGCTTTCTCCTACCAGGAGGACGGGCCTGACTTCGGTAAGCTAATGAGGACTGCAGCTGCAGGGGCAGCTGTGTGGGTGTGGTCTCCATCCTGTGTCCTGCAGGGGCTACGGGGGGGGGGGGGGTAGCATTTACTGCTCTGTTGAGAGCCAGTGCCTAGCACAGCCCGAAGCACAGGGAAAGAACAGAGAAGTGTGCTACTGTGCGTTCTCAGGTCACGGCGGCCAGGGGTCACTAACCACCTGCTGCAGGCACAGCACAGGCTGCAGAACCTCTAAAGGACAGGTTCTATCAGTTGGCTGGTCAGTTGGTGTTCTATGACAGAGTCTCACTGGATAGCCCAGGCTGGCCTCCACCTTGTGCCCATCCTCCTGCCTCAGCCTCCTGAGTGGAACAGCAGGCACCACACCCAGCTAGACTGAAAAGGTTCAACATCCTGCATTTGTGCCGGTGTCACTGTTGCCAGCTAAAGGCGGTGTGCACAGCGTCTCCGCATCCAGGCAGCCTGCCTTGCTGGAGGGTGAACTGTGGGAGATGGTGCAGATTCCACGCAAGCACTGACTGCACCACTGCACAGAGGGGACGCAGGCACCATGCACTGGGGTCTGTGAGGGCCCAAGAAACTGTCCCCATAGATAGGCCGCTATCTTTCCAAACAACTGAGCTTTTGATACAGGGTCTTGTTATGTAGCACAGGCTGGCCTTGAGCCTGCAGCAATCCTCCTGCCTCATTCTCTGGAACAGTTAGATCACAGGTGCACCCACCACTCCTGGATTCTGCAGCTATTTCAGGAGTGGTGCCCACAGACCCAGTGAGAAGCTTAAACTTCCCCAGGTATTTATTAGTTAACAAAGTACTGAGGTTGGGGGTAGGGGCTGCTGCCTGTCTGCAAGAGTGCAAGAGGCTCTGGGTTTTCTCCCTAGCATATTATGACTGTAAGGGGGCAGGCCTGGGAAAGTTGGAGGAAGGAGGCAGATGTTTGTTTGTTTGTTTGTTTGTTTTTCAAGACAGGGTTTCTCTGTGTAGCCTTGGCTGTCCTGGACTCACTTTGTAGACCAGGCTGGCCTCCAACTCACAGCAATCCACCTGCCTCTGCCTGCAGAGTGCTGAGATTACAGACATGTGCCACTGTACCAGGCTTGAAGAAAGCACAATTTAAAGTCTGCTACAAGGCAAACTTGAGGCCATCCTGAGATACATAGTGAGACCCTTTCTAAATCACTGAATAAAAACTAATGAACACATTAAAAGTTATAATCTAAGCTTCTGGGTTCCACTGGACATAGGGTATTTTGAATTGAGCACTGAGTCCCCTCCTGACCTCATGTGGCTCTGAATGATGTGGGGTCCACAGAGACAGCTCCCTGAAGTTCCATCTCTCCTCTCATCTCTCCTTACCTCTGTGCAGGCTCTTCAGTGACTCGTAAGTAAAGAAGCTGAGTCCCGCATAGGGAATGACACCCAGAACAGTGGGTGTGAACCCAAAGTACAGGGTCTTCAGCCCTTCTTCTCTTGAGATGCGAATGAAGACGTGAAAGATGTTGCTGTACCTGCCAGGACCATGTAACAGGACTCAGTGTCTGCATACCATCACTCCTTCCATCTAGGACAGAGTGAGGGGACTCCATGGAGACTATACCTGCCCTGCCTCCCACACTGCAGTCACTGGGCTGGCACCAGGGCCTTGTACATGTGCCAGGCAGGTGTCCTGAGCTGCTAAGTACACCAGGAAGACCTCAAACTCATAGAGATCCATCTGCCTTTGCCTTTCATTAAAGGTGTAGGCCACCACAGCCAAGCTACCCTTAGGTGTTTTTAGAACAAATGATGCTTTCTGGAACCCTGCAGATCTCACACATAGGAGGGTCCTCAGCGTGTACCCCCACATATAGCAGCATGGGCCCCATGGCAGGACTCACATCTCTTTGGGTGTCACAGCCATCCTTGCTCTGACCAGGTCCAGAGGGTATGTGAGGGAAGCAGCGGTGGTTCCTGCCAACGCGCCAGCCAGAAGGCGGGGCCATGGGGGCAGTGCTCTGTGGACAGGCAGAATAAATTGAGACCTGGGTAGGAGCAGCACATGCCCACCCCTCAGCCTGGGGAGACACAGAGGAACATGAGACCCAGGAGGGTCCAAAGTGACTGAGCTTATGGGGTCACTTAGACCAGCAACAAATGCAATCTCCTCTCCCTCCCCATCTGCATGAGTGACATGTCTACTCCAAGGCTGGGCTACATCGTGCCCTACACACTTGGGACTCAGCTCTGGGGAGAGGAATAAGCTAATGAGAGTTGAGAAGATGGCACAGGGCAGTGACATAGAGGAAGGAATGGAGGGTAGGGTGAAGGATGCGGTCCCTCCTGGAGGAGGGGTTAGTGAGGGGCAGAGCATGGGTGAAGAGGGCAATGCAACAGAAGCCTTAAAGTGTGTGTGTGTGTGTGTGTGTTGGGGTTAATGAGTGGGCCTCAGTGAGGAGGGGTGGGGCCAGGCGGGCAGGGGCCCAGCAGGCCTTACTCTCCACGGAAACCATAGTAGCGGCCCAGGATGCGCTTGTATTCCTCGTGTGCGCTGAACTGGATGGCAGCATAAGGAATCACTCGCACCATGGTGGCCGAGTTCCCGCGCCATAGACTGAGAAAGCCTTCGTTGAGGTAGGTGAAGTAGAGGAGCCGGAAGGCCTCCTGGGGAAGACAGGGAATCAGCACCTCTTTGCCACCACAGGCCCTGAGCACACCATGCAGGGAGCACCTCAAATGCAGACGGTGGTGGTAGCACCCCGCTCTGGGCTTGCTGGCCTGTAGCAGCCTAAGCTGTGATCACGAGGAGCTTCCAGCACCCGGTTCTCAGTCCCCCTCAAATGCTGCTATGATTGACAGAAATGGATGTTGCAAGGCTGGCTGGGAGCTGGGCACACCCTGCATAGTTGTTGGTCTGACAGGGTGGCTTTCAAAAGCAGTCTAGTGGAAGGGGTTGTTTAGAGGTAAGGCGCACAGAAAGATAGGCTTTGAGGTCCTACCCCAGAGGTGTGTTACAGTGGCAGGACAGTAGCTTCAAATGTCCTCAGGAGACCTATGCATGAAGGTCTTCTTGGAAACCTGTTCTCCCAGACCACCCCATCCACCCAGTTCCTGTAGCAGCTCACCTTGGCAGAAAATCTTTTTGAAGACACTGAAACAGACAAAAGCACAGAAGATCATGAGGTGTGACTACCAGGTTTCTGGGTCTGCAACCCCCACACTCAGGGCTGGGGCCTGCACTTGGGGCTTCGTGGGGGTGGTGGACAGAATGTGCTGGGGTGAGGAGAACCTCTGGTGTGGCCAGCGGACACCCCGTCCCAGCCCCTTTGTAAAGCCTGAGCACATCTTCATCCTTTAGCAGAAAACCGACACCTAGGGCCGAGTACCACACCCATGCTCAGACAGCAGGTGATAGGGACTATGATCCCTCACAACAGATGGCTTGCCATCCCATCCATCTACTGACCAGCCAGGGGACATAGTAAGTATGAGCACCCCTACTTTAAAGCACACTGAGGGGTAGCAGTGGTGGACAGCCCCCTTTCCCAACAGCTGATGGAGGCTGCCACCATTTGACCATCAGCAGGAGGCTCAGCCTTGCTCAGGCCTGGCTGGCCCTGACGCAGTTTAGCACCCAGAGAGGAACATGGGCTCTGGGATGTGTCCCCCAAAGTTACATCCATACCCTCATCCAGGTCTCTGGGTTTGAAAACAAAGTCTTTGTGGGTGTGGCAGACTCAAGGCACACAAAGGTGACCCTAAAGCAGTGACTCCAAAGAACATAGGGGCTGGGTGTGCTAGCAAACACAAGTGATCACAGCACTTAGGAGGCTAAGGCAGGAGGACTGTTGCAGATTCAAAGCCAACCTGCTGTACAAAGTGAATCTGAAGCCAGCCCGGGCTCAGGATAAGACAGTGTTTTGGGGCAGTGGGAGAAAGGAGGCGGTGCCTGGCAGCCTTCACACTGTACAAGGGCAGGGGCATGGCTGTCACCTTGGAAGATGATCTTGGTCCGGTCCAGGGGGGCTACTGCTGTTTTGGCAAGTGCACCGGCCAGGGCTCCAGACAGCAGGGAGCTGAGCACTTGCCTGTGGTCTCTCTGCAACAGAACACAAGATCAAGGCCACATAGAGGCGAGGAGCGGCTTACCAGAGGGCCAAAACCCAGAGAAGCACCAAGAACCTTTAATGTTTGTGTTCTCTCATGCACCCATGTGCATGGAACCTGTGTGTGTGGAGGCCAGAGGTCAGTGTCAGTTGTTCTCCTCTATCACTATTTTTTGTTTCTCAGTGGATCTGGGGCTTACTGGACAGTCAACAAGTTCTGGGATCCTCCTGTCTCTATGTGTCCCTGCCCTAGCATGGGCTCACAGACGTGTGCACTCACGGTTCCATGTAAGTCTTGGGGGTCTGAACCCAGGTCCTCATACTTGACACTTTTTTTGGCTCCATCTCACAGACATCCTCCTGCTTCTGCCTCCTGAGCCACGTAACCATCATTTCTCCCCACTCTGAGACGTGGTCCAGACTTTCCTCAATCTTGCAATCCTCCTGCCTCAGCCAACAAAGAGGAGACAACAAGTGTGCACTACCATCTCTGGCTCACCTCTTTCATGGTCCTCATTCAGCCTCAGTGTTGTCAGAAAACTTGATTGGACTCGTGCAGTTAGCCCCTGGGAGTGAGGGTGACAATTACCCCTGCAAGTTGTCCTGAGCTGTTCTTCCTACTTCCTGGTTTGCATGATCCCCATGTGCAAGCTCCACCTCCCCATTCCCACCCCTTGTTCATATAACTGCAGTGTGGCACTTTAGAGCCAATTTTTAAAATTTGTTTTTTGATTTTTTGAGACAGGTTTCTGTGTGTAGCCTTAGCTGTCCTGGAATTGCTTTGTGGACCAGGCTGCTCTTGAACTCACAGAGATCCATCCTCTGCTATCCAAGTGCTGGGATTAAAGGCATGCACCACAACCGCCTGGCCAATTTTTTCAAAATATTTATTTTATTTTATGTTCACTGGTGTTTTGTCTGCATGTAGGTCTATGTGAGGGAGTCAGGTCCCCTGGAACAGGAGTTATAGATAATTGTGAGCTGCCATGTGGGTGCTGTGAGTTGAACCCTCCAAAAAAGCAGTCAGTGCTCTTAACCACTGAGTCATTTCTGCAGCCCCTACAACCATATTTTTTTTGGGGGGGGGGGGCGGAACAGGGTTTCTCTGTGTAGCCCTTGTTGTTCTAGAATTCATTATTTAGACCAGGCTGGCCTGAACTCACAAAGATCTGCGTGTCTCTGCCTCCCAAGTGCTGGGAGTAAAGGCATGCACCAGCACTGCCCAGCTGAGATTTTGGGGCTGAGATCGTAAGTGTGTACGATGTGCTGAGCTGGTGATTGTCTCCTATATGGAGCTACCATAAAGGCAGACAAGTAATGGCCATTCCGCAATGTTGGGGATCCAATGACCAGTAGGGGGTGATGTTGAGAGTTTAGTGGCTAGCAAGGTTGGGTTCCAATAGAAAGGGGTAGTGGTGAGCGGTGATTGAGAGAGTTCACTGGTAGTGGTGCCTTTGGTGAGTCCTGAAGGATCTCTGGAATGCAGATGGCTGTGTACAAATCTTTTAACTTCCGTCAGGCCTCTAAAGAACTATGCCTAAGTGCCCCATTTGTGACCTCCAGCTGGCCCTGGTGAGTGCATCCTCTTGTCCCCGTGGCAGTCCCAGGTGCCTCCTGTAACTCAGGGAAAGGTTAAGAGGATCACAGGGTGCTGCCAGCTCAGCCACTGACCCCATGGACTTTGAGACTGTTGGTGTAGCACCTGCCAGGCCCTAGGGAGGCCTGTAGGCTCCATCAGCCTGTTTTGGGTCCAGCAGGAGGGCAGCCATTAGTGGCAGATGTCCACAGAGAACAAGGGTGGGCCAAGCTGACTGTTCTGCTGTTGCTAAGGCTTTGAGATGGGTCTTGTTTACAGCACAGGCTGGCTTGGAACTCACAATCCTCAAGCTTCAGACTCCTGAGTGCAGAGGACAGATGTATTCTAGCATACCCAGCCCAACTCTCACTTTCTGAGGGACAGTCTCCTTCAACTGCAGCAAGAGCCTCAGGGATGAGCCTGCCATCACTGCTCTGCATTCATCAGCTCTCCAAGTGCCTCCCCTAACTATGGGTAGGGAGTTGGCATCATACCAAATGCTGGGCCTGGCTGGATCTGTGCACCAGCCTGAGGTTGATACCTCAGGCAGCAGACATCTTCCTGTGATGCATCATGATCCTTGCTTGCAGTGACATAAATGGGTACCTGCTATGCAGAGGGAGTAAGGATGGCAGGGACTGTAATATGTTCTTCTGGCCCAGTGGGGATCCCAGAAATCATCCTACAGCAGTGGTTCTAAACATGGGGGTCCTGGACCCTTGGGAGGAGCATCAGATGATCCTTTCATGGGGTGGGGGTGTCACATATCAGATACTTACATTATAATTCTTAACAGTACTAAAATTACCGCTACACAGTAGCAATGAGATAAGTTTATGGTTGTGGGTCACCACAATATGGGGAGCTGTATTAAAGGGTCATAGCATTAAGAAGGTTGAGAACTGTCCCTCAGAGAGATGGCACTACTTGCCTTTGAGGAGACGGCCCCAGATAGGACAGCTTCGGCATCCTCGCGCAGGTGCACAGAGCCTTCCTGCACACCATTACCCATCCCAGGCGTGCTGGACAGTGGGAGGCTCAGTCCTGAGGAAAAAGAAGGTCTGGTGAGATGAGCTGGACTCAGCCAGATGGCAACGGTCCAGCTGAGGGTGGCTGCTGACTTCCCAGGCTCATCTAGGCTGGCTCTGATGGCCTTTACCTTACCTTACTTTACCTCTTGGCTCTCCATCCCCAAGAGGGAAAAGATGTCCTTGACCTTAGTCAGATTCTGAGGCCACTATACCCTGGGTTGATGGCTTCATCAAAGCAAACGTTCTTTTCTGTTACTTGCATATGACCATCACAGAAGTCTGTTTTTCTGAACTAGTGCTAGCTGATCAGAAAGGGTAAAAGTTCTGTCTGAGGCCACACAGCAGGGAGGAGAAGATCAGGACACCCTTCTGACTATCACCAGCATGGCATGGCAGGGAATGGAGGTCAGGGGACCCATATGCTCAGAGCCATCTAGCACCAGCCCCACTACCAGTCTGGGGTGGTCTAAACCCAAGGGCCCCATTCATGGAGACATGATTCTTTTCCTCCTATGCCAGCTGCTTGTTCTCTGCAGAGAGAAGTCACGTGAAGCCTTGTTCCCTGCATTCTCCCTGAGCAACCACCTGTGCTCAGGCCTCATCTTCTCAGGCCATTGGATCCCAGGGGAGCAGGGAGAAGAACAGTAGAGATAACACTGTGCTCCAGTGTTCTCTGAGGTCTCAGTTTTGCACAATCCAATCACCAGACTTGGTGGTGCCTATGACCTACGAGTGTAGGAGGCTGAGGCAGGAGGACCTGAGCCCAAGGCCAGTGAGCTTAAGGTCAGCCTGGGGACAGTGAAAAGTAAAAGAGGGATTTGGGTGGCTCAGGAGAGAGCACTCGCCTAGAACCATCAGTGTGGAGATAGGGCCTAGATTGCTCATGACTAGCCTAGCATACTTGGGGCTCAAAGCTTAATCTTCATTGTGGAAAAATATCCAATCAAACAGGATGGGAGTGTGGCTCAGGAGGAGAGCTTGTGTGTGCCTGGCAAATGCTCCCATTTGTGTCTGGAGCACCATTTCAGGACCAACAATTGAAAAGTACAAATAGCTGGGCATGGTGGCGCCTGCCTGTAATCCTAGCACTATGGGAGGCAGAGGCAGGTGAATTGCTGTGAGTTTGAGGCCAGCCTGGTCTACAGGGCAAGTCCAGAACAGCCAAGGCTACACAGAGAAACCCTGTCTAGAAAAAAAACCAAAACAGTACAAGTAAATGAAATAATGTAACAAATCAATACAGTACAATGTGATGATGAGTAGCTCTAGGGCAGATCTGCAACATTAAGGACAGCAACAGCACTGGCTGTTAAGCCATATGCTCCCAACTCTGCCTTCAATATGGGCCTGAGCCTGAGTCCAGGAGAAACAGAATACACATCCCTGGCCCTGGGTGCTATAAGAAAGCAGGTTGAGCATAATGGTGCATACCCTGAATCCCAGCACTCAGGAGGTAGAGGAAGGCAGATCTCTGAATCTGAGGGCAGTCTGGTCTACATAGTGAGTTCCAGGACAGCCAGAGCTACATAGTGACAACCTGTCTTGAGCAAACCAAAAAAAGACAGACAGACAGACAGACAGACAGATAGATAGATAGATAGATAGTTAGAAAGAAAGCAGGCTGAGCAGGCCATAGGGAGCAAGCCACTAAGCAGCATTCCTTCACAGCCTTTGCATCAGCTCCTGCCTTCAGGTTCCTGCCCTAACTTCCTTCAGTGATAGCCTGGGACCTGAGCTCTAAGCTGCAATAAACCTCCCAAGGGGCCCTGCTGTGTACAGAAAGCCATACTTGAGAACCATCAACCACTATGCAAAGTGGGCTTATGCCATGGTGTGGACTGAGGATGAGATGGGGTCCCAAGAGGATTTGGAGCTACAGCTAGGCTCCACCTGCAGCCCCTTAAAAATAATAATTACCAAGAGGCTGAAGAGATGGCTCAGAGGTTAAGACTGCTTGCTGGCCACTCTTGCAGAGGATCCAGGTTTGATTTCCCAGCAGTCACATGTCAGTTCACGAACATCTGTAACTCCATTTCTAGGGGACTGGACACCCATTTCTGGTTTCAGTAGACACTGTACACATGTGGTGCCTATGCAGGCAAAACACCCATATACATCAACATAAAAACAAAATTACCGTAAAAAACCAGTGATGTAAAAAGACTAAAATGAGGGTTTGGGCTACATCTCAGCTGTAAAGTTCTGGCTTAGCAGTCAGGGAGCCATAGTTTCTGATGCCAGCACCACATAAAAGCAGGTGCAGCAAGGCATACACCTGTCACTCAGGAGACTCGGACATGGGGGTTTATCATGGGTTCAAGTACAGCCAGGGCAATAGAGTGGGGACCTGCCTCAATTGAATAAATAGATAAAATGAAAGTGACCCAGGCGCAGTGGAACACCTGTAATCCCAGCACTCAGGGAGGCAGAGGCAGGCAGATCACTGTGAGTTTGAGGCCAGGCTGTCCAGGACAGTCTACACAAAGAAACCCTATCATTTTTTTATTTTAATTTATTTTTATTAATTACATATTATTCACTTTGTATCCCAGCTGTAGCCCCTTCCCCCCATCCCCTCCCAATCCCACCCTCCCTCCTTCTTCTCCCATGCCCCTCCCGAAACCCTATACTGAAAAACACAAACAAACAAAAACAGGAAAAAATAAATAAAAGAAAAACAATAAAAGAAAAATGAATGGGTAAAATAAAGGCCAAAAAACAAACAAACAAACAAAAAACTATGCTAAATGAAGACTACCACCTCCTGGCCCGTGCCAAGTGTCATGGGCTGAGTTTCAGATGTCTGTGACTGTGTGGTAACTGGCCTAGTAACCTGGCTCCACTTGCCTTTGGGGCAGTATGAGCAGATAGAGCACAAGCAGAGGGTTAAGGGAGGTACCTTCTGGAGGGCTTTGTGCTAGCTGGTTTCCTTGGAGACCTTCTTGGCAAGGCTCACATTTACACTCACCAACCCCTCTCCTCAAACCCGGTTTCTGAGGCCTTTGGCGAAATGTTTCCCATGGCCTCTGTGTTGAGTGTGAGGTTGGGGATCAAGACATATATCACAGACAGGGCACAAGAGCAGCTACTGTCTGGCAAATGCCAGACCCATTCTTATCTCACCTGTTCTACAGACAGGGAGCTGGGGATAAAACTGAGAATGCATCTAAAATCCCCAGGAGAGGGGCTGCAGTCATGGCTCAGGGGTGGAGCTGTGCCAGGAATCCCCCAGCAAGGGGCTGGGGATATTGTTCAGGGGGAGGAGCATCTGTCTAGAATTCTCTAGTGAAGGACAAGGGTGTGAAGTGGGGTAACATCCTAGGCCATGGATGGCTGCCCCCTACTCCCCACCTGACTGTCAGCACCCTAAAATCTACAAAACAAACAAAAACAAAAACTGTTTTGTATGTGAGGAGGCTTCTGGCTTCCTCCTTCTGGAGGAGGGTAACAGTGACAGTGACTCCAGGTGGTTACAGGGGTCCATGGTTGCTCACTTACCCATGACTGAGGCATTTCCCTTATTTTTCCAAGCTCAGTCAAGCCTAGCACAGGACTCCAAAGCTGCAGATCTCCTACCTAGGGAGCCAAATCTTGTCCTAGAAAACCATGTGTTCTTAATTAAGCCTTCACTTATCCCAGAGGAGCAGCCATGGACGGTGGGGAGATGGACTTCAATTCCCAAACAGATAGAACATAACCCTGTCACAGGCAGTGTCTTGAGCAGCTCAGCACCCTGGATGCTGGCTCCAGCACTTGGGAAGAACAGCTCATGTCCAGGGATGGGGACAGAAGTCAGTGTCTGGATCACGTTAACCGGCCCCTGCTGTTGGCTAATGACACAGGTCACCTGGTAGAGGAAAGGGGAACCACACCTGAGGGACTGCAGCCAGGATCCCTATCCTTGGCGAGATCCCTATCCCCACCTCAGCTTGTTGACTTTCACAGGCCTGGAAACAGCCTGAGGGAAACAAGTCTGAGAGAGAATTAGAAACTAAGCTTGTGTGATTTTTAAAATTGTGGGACAGAAAATGGTGCTTAGTGGGAAGGTGATTTCCTGGTCTATGCAGTGTGCTGGCCTCCATCTCCTGCACTGCCAAACAGCCTGTCGCCCAGAACTGGGAGGCTGTTGCGGGAGAGTCAAATTCAAGGCTTGGGCTCTATATAGCAAGACTTTCTCAGGTAATAATAATCACTCTGGCCTCAGTGAGACACAAGACCTTGCAGGCAAGGAGGAGCAGTAGATGAGCCATCTGGTGTCTGAAGCTCCTGTCCTCAGGCAAAGCTGGGCGGGGTTAGCTAGAGATGCCAGGTCAGGACATGGTGTAGTCCCTGCACCCACACTGGGATGTAAGGAGTCTGGTAGAATGAGTGTGGCCATGTGTGGGGCTCTGCTCCCCAGCAGCAGTTAGGTCAAGTGGACAGTGACCCATGGTAACTTGAAAAGCAAACATGGGAACTGTCTGCAAGAGCTGAGGGTGTAGGCAGCTTGCTGAGCAGGCACCAGGCCAAATACAAAGAACATTGGCATTAGGCATGCTTGCGGTTTCGTAAACAATACAGCGGGCCGGCTCTTTGTTATTTATTTGCACTCTACGCTGTATTCCAGCATTTAAGGAGGGCACACTCAGGGTCTAGGTAAACAGCAGGGACCCGGGCTGAGGGTTTGATGACTTAACTAAAACCAAGCTCACATGTAACAGCAGATGGCAGTGTTGTTAGCTTGGCACTACAGCCAGGCTCTGTTGGGGATCTACTGATTATTCCTTTGTATTCTTCCCCAGTGATAAGCAGTTAGCAGTCACACACTGTGTCCAACCACCCCCATCCTGTCTTCCTGGATCTGTGTTATCTCCGCTCTCCTCTCCTTGGCCTCTGTTGCTGAAGACCTGATGCCCATGGGGACACTGGCTGTATCTAGTAGCCCTGCCCTTCTCCCAGTGCTGGACAGATTAGCCGTGCTCTTGCAGTGAGCCTGGGAGGACACAGCATAGGGTTTCTCTGGGTGCTCAGGCT